GTTTTTGTGGCATTTCGGGCGGGGCTCGTGCGGGGGGGGGGGGGGATGATGTCTTTACACTTACGTTGGCGACCACCTTGACCTCCTTGTATTGCGCTTCGTAAAATATCCCTGCATTCTCTAGCACTTCTGTCAAGGGAGGGGTGTTTTTCATTTGCTTGTCTAAGCTGTTCACGAATTCTTCCAGCTTCGCACTCGCTTCCTCAAATTCCTTGGAGAACTTCTTGCCTCCCGTTTTGTCTGAAAAGGAAAAAGGCACTGCATTTACTCAAAAGGAAGATGACAGATGTTAAAAACATGTTAGAATACATTATGGACACGGACACACACACACAAAGTTATTCTTGAACACGGCTGTAACTTGCATGCAAAAATAAGACAACCTCCTCTCTCTTTTTTGGTGTGGTATACCTGGGGGGGGGGGGGAATCTGGTCTTTTATTTGAGTAAAAATAAGAACAAAAACCCAGAATCACGTAACAATTGAAGGTGTTGCAGAATTTCTGTGTGAAGGCGTTCAGTATGCCTTGCAAACTGAGTCTCACGTTCTGTGTGCTACGCCAATAAAGGCCGATTGATCGAACCCAAGCGCTAATTTGAATGGCGTGGAAGGTCCCACTCCAAAGGCAGCCCTGGCACGGGGGTTTCCCAGAAGACACGGCAGACACACGCGGGAGAGGAGTAGGGCTGCCGCTGCTCTTGAGCACAGAGAAGTGATTCCCAGCCATTCCCGGTGCATGGGGAGAATACCCGAAAAGGGCCTTAGTAAGTCAAGATGGGGCGAGCTCCCGTCTCTCGTTCGAAAGCAGTTCGAAAGCAAGAAATTGCAAGGAGATAAATAGGTACCACTTCGGTGGGGAGGTGACAGCGTTCCGTACGCCTTGGTGTTTAGTCATGCCGGCCACATGACTAAACGTCTTCGGACAGCGCTGGCTCTTCGGCTTGGAAACGGAGATGAGCACCGCAACCCTAGAGTTGGACTCGACTGGCTTTCGAGCAAGGGAACCTTTACCTTTGACTAATTCAAGTCGCAGCTGACTGACGGTGACCCAGCAGGGTTCTCAAGGCACGAGACGTTCAGAGATGGCCGGCCATGGCCTGCCTCTGCGTCAAGACCCCTGGACTTCCTGGGCGGCCGGCCTCCCACCCGAGCACTACCCGGAGCCGACCCTGCTGACCTTCCGGGATCCAAAGAGGTCATTCCCTTCTTGTATCTGACGAGGGGAGCTCTGTCGCTCAAAAGCTTGCACTCTGCCCATCTCATTGGTCTCTGAAGGTGCCACGGGAATCTCGCATGTACGTCTTGATGGGTTCAGAATGACCCCCTCTGCCCCGTGCTCTCCACCATATGGGCTGGAACGTGTCGAGTCCCATTCCACCAACCAAGGGGGGCCTTCTCTGGGCATGAAGTACTGGAGAAAGATCCTTGCCGTCGTTGGAATGGCTCTGTTCCCGCCCCCCCCCCCCGGCCCTGCCACAAAGCCCCCGACGCACGGTACCTTTCAAGCACTTGAGCGTCTCGGTGCTGCACACGTCCACCCGCATGGTGGCCAGCTGCTTCTCCTTCAGCTCGATCTGGTCTTCGGAATGCTTGTACAGGAGCAACTCGTCGACCAGGGACTGCGGCTGCATGGGAGGAAAGCACAGGCCCTTCAAGCACTCCCCACGGGAAAAGAAGCAGGGAAGCGAAAGGACGAAGCGGCTGAACGGGGAGGGAGGGGGGAGGTAACACTCCCAGCACTGGGGGTGGGGAGGAAGCCCCACCCCCCGTATGCAGAAAGAGGAGAAATGGCAAGAGTGCTGGTAATTACCTTTAAAGCCCTACATGGCCAGGGTCCGACATACCTGAGGGACCACCTTTCCCCGTATATACCCCAGAGAGCACTACGGTCGGGGGCCCAACATCGTCTTGTGATCCCAGGCCCTAGGGAGGCCAGGCTTGTGGCAACCGGGGCCAGGGACTTTTCGGTGGCAGCTCCTGCCTCGTGGAATGAGCTCCCGGAGGAGATCAGGGCCCTGTGGGACCTTTCACAGTTCCGCAGGGCCTGCAAGACGGAGCTCTTCTGCCAGGCTTTTAATTAGGAGCTGCCACCGCCGCCACCACCACCAACTACCTCATGGGAACATGGGGTATTGGGACGGCCCATTACAAGATCGAGCCACAGTGCTTCAATGGACCGTAATGCCGAATCGGGCTCGGAGCTTCATCTGCAGGCTACCTTCTTGCTCTGACGGAATGCTTTAATAACACCGCTGAGCACTTTATTCTGATTGCTGGTTGTTTCTATGTGTTTTGGGTGTTTTACTGTTTTGTATTGGCACATGGTGCCCCGTTTTGTGAGCCGCCATGAGCCCGTTCGCAGGGAGGGTGGTGTAAAAATAGAATAAATAAAAGGAAATACCGGCCAACACCGCAGAGGGTTCGATGGCAGCTGCCCCACCCATCCTTCAACAACCCACCACAACTCAAGGCGTCACGCGTACAGGTGGCTGCGTTAGACTCTGTCAGACCACCGGAGTCCGTCCAGGTCAGTCCTGTCTCCTCTGACCCGCGGGGGCTCTCCAGGGTCTCAGGCCGAGGGCTTTCACGTCACCTACGGTATGGCCACCACTTAAACTTTATGCCCCCCCATCTTTTCCCCCCCCCCCCCCGATCATTCTGTCCTCTCCCTCCTCTGCCCACGAGGCGGCTGGGCGGTCTGGAATGGGGGGGGGGAGAGTTTTCATAGTCTGCCATCTGGAGTTTTAATTGATCTCCTGGCATCAATTTTATTTTTTTAAATTTTTTTACAGGGATGTGTATGTTTTTTGTTTTTTTTAAGGGATGTTTTTATTTGTTTTGTACATTGCCCAGAGCCCTGCGGCAGCAGGGATGGGCGATTCAAAAACCAGATAGATAGATAGATAGATAGATAGATAGATAGATAGATAGATAGATAGATAGATAGATAGATAGAAAGAAGACAGACAGACAGACAGACGATAGACAGACAGACGATAGATAGACAGACGATAGATAGACAGATAGACAGACGATAGATAGACAGACAGACGATAGACAGACAGACAGACGACAGACCGATGATAGACAGACAGACAGACAGACAGATAGACAGACAGATAGATCAAGAAAGAAGTTCCTTGGCACAACCTTAGATAAATTGGGCCCTTGTTCCACATCTGGAAAAGTTTTAACTTTACTTTCAGAGGTGGAGCCAGAGTATTCCTACAAGGTTGCCCTCCTTGCCCTGGCGGCAAAGAAAATCCGCATCGAGGTGACCAAATCCTCTCCAGCTAAATAGCCAGGGCTGTGTCGAGGTATTTAAGCCAGATCTACACCTGCAATCCACAAATTTGTTTTACAGACCTGTAGAAAAACCGCCCGTGCTTATTTAAGTTTTGCGACAGTAAGTGCAAAGACAGAACTTATCCACGTGCGCTCCTCGAAAGCATTTCATAAATGCCTGTTCTAAAAATAAACACCACGTTTTAAAGACACTTACCCGGAATTCCGCAACGATCTTGGACTTCAGAGCAGCTCTGGGATTCGCGGAGGCTGCGGAGAGGAGGAACAAGTTGAGAGGCGCCTACTAAGACTGCAAAGCCAAAGCGGGGGGTGCGTACCAGAAGAGAGCCTCTCCCAACCATCACCCACCCCTGGCCAGCAGGGCTTGCCACCTGAAT